TGCAGAAATTATGGCTATTAAAATTAAACTGGAATGATGTTCTGCCAGAAAAGGATGCTAAAGAATGGAAAGAATTCTTCACTACCTTGGAGTTAATTAACAACATTGTAGTCCATAGATGTATTTTATTACCAGATACAATCAAGATTGAGTTACATGGTTTCTCTGATGCCTCAGAGGCCGCCTATGGAGCAGTTATCTACTGTAAAGCCACATCAGCAACAAACCATACATCAGGGAGGTTGGTGTGCAGTAAATCGCATGTCTCTTCCCTAAAGAAGACTACAATCCCAAGACTTGAGTTTTGTGCAGCAGTGCTATTAGCTAAACTAATGCACTGAGTGAAATCATCGTTAAAATTGGAGCTTACTGCTATTCACCTTTGGTCCGATTCTATGATTGTGCTGTCATGGATCAAGAAAGAGCCACATCTGCTCAAGGCATTTGTTGCAAACCGGATTTCAAAGATACAAGATCTGACTAAAATTGCATGCAATTCTCTCAAAGATGTCACTAACGAAAGAATTCATAATCGACATTGCCTTGCTCGAAATACCAGTGTCGGGATGAACCTGTTTCAAAACTTTGTAGATGTAAATAGCAAAAGATTCCTTCATGCACTTCTTTCTCTTTTTCTTGTCACCAGATCGAACATTTCTATCGCTTCCGAAGAAAACTCATCAGATCTCACATCTAGAGGTATGGCTGCCAAAAGACTGCAACTAAGTCAACTGCAGTAGAACGGGCCTGACTTCTTAATGAAGGATGAGTACCCTATGAGAGTTATACCTGAAGCAATTACTGAAAAGGACAGTAATGTACTTAAAAACTTTGCTGATTCTGAACTATCAATATGTTTAAATCTAAATGTGAATAATTTTGTTAATGATTTATTGAATTGCAATAATAAGTAGTTAAAATTAATTTGTATTATAAGCTTTTGTTTTAGGTTTTATAAGAATTGTAAGCAAGAACAAAAGAAGGTAGGAAATTTACAAGTGCTTGAATTGAGAGCAGCTGAAGAAGCGTTATTAAAATTAGTGCAGGGTGAGTATTTTATAAATGAGATAAATGGTCTTAAAAAATCAGGTATTGTTCCAAGAGAAAGTTCTATTAAAAATCTTAACCCTTTCATTGACAGTAATGGAATGTTGAGAGTTGGAGGTAGATTAAGAAATAGTAAAGCTCTAAAAATAATATACAAGTTGGAGACATGGTCCTAATTAAAGATAATTTGTCTTGTTGTAATTGGGCAGTTGTTCATATAATAGAAGTATTTTATGGTAAAAATGGAAAGGTTCGCGTGTGCAATGTAAAACCTCAAACTGGAACTTTCAAACGACTAATTACCAAATTATGCATCTTACCAATACAAAAATGAGTATTGTCTTTATCGTTAGTGTGCAGTATTGAATATGCTTCACACAAAATGTCATTATGTAACTGAAATGTTATACAGTCAAAAGTCGTTAATTCGGACACCCAAAATCCGGAATGATCTATAATCCGGACCTCAAAGCTAAAAACTTTCTGCGCATGCGCCGCGTTGGCACATGCGCACAGGCGTTTTACGCGTGCGCGTAAGACCTTGACTACTGCGCATATGCGTGTGCGCAAGTGCAGAATATGTTTTCGCCAGCTCGTTTAATGTATAACAGACGGTGTAAGCTAAAATTATCTAATTATCTATTTCAGTTAATGTTGCAGATAGCGTTGTTCTTTAATCTTGGAATTGGATCAGGCTTATTATTTTTTGCAGACTGTAAGAGCAATTTTATAAAAGTAAACTTGAACTTTCGATTATGTCAAATAGAATTTCCGATGCTGGAACTTGCAAAGGATCTACAAAACGAAAGTATGTTTCGATGTCCAACAAACAAAAAGTGGAATTGCTGCAAAAAATGGATAAAGACATGAAGAATGTGACAGAGAGGTTAGTGAAACGAAAAAAAAATTTCGATTGACAAGTTAGTCGGTATTCTCGGCACAGCAATTAACGGGACTTGAACAGCGGGGAACTTAGTAACTGAACAAGAAATTATGTCTTTTTATAGAATTAAAGAGAAAGTATTATCACATAAAATGAAGCAACTTAAACAACTTACATTGACAGAAATGTTTAATAAAGTAAACAAATAAATATTAAGCTTTTTTTTTTTTGTAAATTTTGATACCCTTTAGATCATAATTGTTCTTTATTTCATAAATTATGGTTTCATATTTTTAATTTTAGAATTTCTACATGCCATCTTACGAGATTTAAACTGATGATCTATAATCCGGAAAAATCGATAATCCGGAATCGCCGAAGTCCCGACGAGTCCGGATTAACGACTTTTGACAGTACTGCATTGTTTTGAGTTGTACGCTGATGTATATGGTAAATGTCTTATTATAATACTGATTTTATGTAATATTACTTATTCAAAATTGTTTATAATACTTGTTTAAATTTCTTTATACTATATCATAATTACAATAGTTGAATGCTACATATTGCAACGCGGGGTGGCATGTTTGCGCCTGTGCACCTGTAATGTAATCCATGCATCTGTAATGTTCTGATCAGACGAGTTTGAGAATCGCCATCGAAGGTGTACGAGGGCTGGTCACAGCTATGAGTTAATAATGAGTGATTGTACTTAATTATGAGAATTAATAAAGTAAGAACCAGCAAATTTATTATTGTGTGTGTTATTTGGGATGAGACCCAAACAGATAAGCTTTTACGTTATATATCAAATTAATTTTTAAAGTTAGGTTACTACTTAGTTTAATCTTGCTTAATTAAAATATTTCTATACTTCCAATCTAATTATAGAATCATATAGTACCTCATACTGACTTTGAAATACGAGAAATTCTTCCTTTTATATTATCGGTTTTGGTCAACTGCATGCAAATCAATATATGGTGATAAAAATGTATGTTCAATGCATGAACATTATCAATAATGAATAGTGGAACATTATTAATAAGACAGTAATCACTATTAATAGTAATAGTAAATAATCAACAGTTTTGTAAACAGTGACAGTAAATCGCAATTAATAGTAATAGTAGATAATAAGTAATAAACATAATCAACAGTAAATAATTAATAACCCAAATAGTAAGCATTGCCATTAAAATATTAATAATATCATACACTGGTTATCATAAATTAAGGAAAAATCACAAAAATCACAATTACTGAAAAAGTTACATGTAAAATTTTATGAAACTTACTCACAATATACAACATATAGTAAGGTATCAAATAACATAAAAAGAAATTACCAGACAATTATGGTAGTATAGAAATTAGCACATGTATAAAATGAACAAATCGAAGGTGTCAGTTTGCTATAGGAAAAAGTATCTTTAATATGGAATATGGTCACGTCTAGAAGCAATACAGCACACACAGCTATGCGTGATGCTTTCAATTATGCGGTCTATCAGTTACCATAGGAAGCGAGAGCCATTGCTCTTGCAAAGCAGTTGCAAGCGTGGCAAGGGTCTGAGGGGGCAGATTGAGAGCAGCTAGATGTCTCTTTAAAGCATCCCAAACATGCTCGATAGGATTCAAGTCCGGGGATCATGCTGGCCACTCCATGCGCATAATTGTTTCCTGTTGAAGATAATCATCTACGATGTGAGCTCTGTGTGGTCTTGCGTTATCGTCCTGTAACAGGAAAGCATCACCTATTGCCCTGGCACAAGGGCACACATAAGCATCAAGCACGTCATCTCTATAAACCGGAGCATTCACGATTTTCGTTGGAAAGACATGGAGGTCTGTGCATCCACCCAAACAGATGCCAGTCCAAACACAGACACAGCCTCTTCCGTACGCATCTCTTTAATGGATGTTTGACATATGATAACGGATTCAAGGTTCTCTCAATATCTAGTAACGCCTACTATCGCTTTCTAAATTAAACCTGATGAATTATAATTTAATTTAATAAATGCCGTATATTTTAATTTTCATCCGTAAAGAGAACAACCCTTCCACCAGATCAAGCGTCCAGTAGACATGTTGTCGTGCCTACTGCAAACGGTCCCTCCCATGGCGTGACGTGAGCGGCACGCAAATGTCTGTCGTCTTGCATACAGACCACCTTCGTGAAGGTGGTCTGTATGCGAGAGTTGCACAGTTGACATTGACACCAACCTTCCGGTGGCTGCAGCAAGGGAGGACCTAAGAAGAGTCGGAGTAACGGTTCTGTTCCTGCGTGCACATAATGTCAAATATCGGTCATCGGCGCTCGTCGTAGCAGTTGGCTGTCCTTGGCTGAACCTCCTAGATGCCGAATCTGTGGTTTGAAATTGCCTCCAAAGTCTATGAACCACAGAAGGACTCACATTTAGCCATCTGGCCACTTCTGCTTGACTTTATCCTGCCTCTAGTCTCCCAATGTCTTTCCATCGTAGTTCTGCGGGCAAATGATGCCTGGAGGTCATTGTTACGAATTGGCTATCTCACATATCTGATGTCACTATCACAGTAAAATATGTGGGCTTGCTCTCAAACATGGACTTTTATTCTCCTCGCAGATGACGTATTCCGAGTGCAGAGCCAATAATTTGCATAGTGGAGTTTTACTCAACCACTCTTACTTGGCAACATATTCAAATTTTACACGGTTTTGCTTATTTTTGAGGGAGTTATCGCTATTTTTCTGATGTTTCCTTAATTTATGATAACCAGTGTAATAGTGAAACATTAATGATATTATTACATATAATATCATAATGTTTATTAATTTTTAATTCAGTTAAAAATTCTAAGCATTATAGGAAGAAAGGATAAATTTTTAATTTTAGCAAATACAGAATCCATTAAGAAACAGTTTACTCAGAGCTTGTTTCAAAATTCAAAAAATTATTATACTTATTAGTTAGTCCTAAATTACGAAAAACAATATATCTGTTATTATTATACTTATAAAATATTCAAGGAAAAGTTTAATTTATGAAATATTTCAAAAAGTTAAAACAAATAGTCAACTTACACTTGAAGGTATTTCCCGCAAACATATCTCACACAGCTGAGTTTTAGGTGTAGTGGCTTGTTTCTATAAAAGAGAAAGTTTTTATTATAATTTAATGTATTAATAATAAACAATTAATTATAATCAATTTTATTTTTAATTCAGGATGAAATTAATTTTTCTGGTGCAGAAACATGGTATAATTTTATCAGCAATAGTATTTATTTTTGTATTACAAATTACAATATATACCAGTGGTGGCCAAAGTGCAGCTCGCGAGCCTGATACGGCTCTCGCAGGCAATTTGTGTGGCTCATGCATATAAAATATATGTATGAAATATGGAAAACTAAAACCATTCAATGTCCAAAAGGAAGTAATTAATTAGTTTAGACTCTTTTTACAAAGTTATCAGGGATTTCTTTCTATTTAAAACCTCCTCCATTACTTCTATAGTGATGTGAATATGAACTTGTGGCTTTTAGAAAATTTAGATGCGGCTCTCGAACATTCCTGAACTCAAGTGTGTGGCTCTTACTGACATGAAGTTTGGCCAACCCTGGTATATACACTAATCAATATATATATACAAAGAGATTTGTACACATAATGATTTTATGTGAATGTAAACTAAAATTTTTAAATGCATAAAAAAATCTGAAAGAATTCAAATTTTAATGGAAACCCAAAAGGTTCTTTTAAAGTTTAATATGATTTATCAGAAGAGATTATCGATTAAGATGGCCCAGGTGGACTGAAACGTTTTATACAAAACTAGATGAATAGATAATTAGACTAACAAGAGAATGATACATATCTAATGTATATTTGAATAGAAAAGACATGTATAATATCATTCTATAAAAATATTGAATGTTTTTAATTAGAAAAATCACGAATTAAATACATTTAAAGAAATCAATTAAAAGGTAAAAAAATATAATTCTTATAAACTACATCTCTTGCTTTCAAATAGCTTAGTTTGTTAATTCATAACAGATAGATTCAATTGTAAAGATGAATATCTTATATTTTGTTGAATGGCAACACTCGAATGAAAAGTGAAAGAATGGGAAATCACGTTTCGGAACAAATCATGCTTTCAAGCTAATAAATTTTTTTTAAATTTGATCTGCCATCCTTTCTCATATACCTTTTAAAAACTCCATCCCATAAATCTTTAGAAAACCCTTAACAGATCCACATTAATTTTAAACATAAAAGGAAATACTGTATTTTTTCATATATTTATCCCCTCTAGTTTTTTTCAGCATATGATTTAGAGACTTTTAATTTAGAGTAATAATGTAAAATGTATGTGCAAATAGAAAAGTATTTTATGTAACTAATAGAAAATGTTACTAAAATTAATAAGTCCTTTGAAATCCATAACATAATAATGTTAGTGTGTATTTACAGTGGGGGCCAAAATTGTGGACACTTGGAAATTTTTATGTTTTTGAACTTTGTATGCTTATAGAAAATGCTACGTTTCGCAAAATGCAAACTTGTATATATCATTTTAAAGAGAATTTATTATTGAATTCAATACAAAACACAAAATTCAATAATTTGCAATATAAAAAAGTTATATGTACTTTAATATAAATAGAAAACACAGTTATGAAGTGGTTTGTAATGTCTAGCTTTCCTGGCCAATCACTGTTCTTGTTGTGAGAACCAATCAAATGTTAGTAACTGCCAGTAGAAGCTGACATCATGTTTACACTTGAAACAATTCATTATGTCGCTTTGTTCTGTAGAAGGAGGACCTGTTTCTTATACACTGCAATTACAAGTAGGATTTTTTGTAAAAATTTTTAATATTTAGTCAAGACGCAATGACATCAAATAAAAGAGTAGATTGGACACCTAGAACGAGATGTAATATTATTGTGTTACGAGAAAGTGGTCTTTCCTATCCTGAAACTGCAAGACAGGTGGGTGGTTCAGTGACTACATCTGGAATTTGAAAGTTTTGTTTACGATATCAGGAGACAAATTCAATAAAAAAACAAAGAAGGAAAAGGCCGAAAAAGGTGCACACATCTATTGATGACAGAAAAAATAAAAATAAAAAGACTATGTCTCCAAGATAGAAAAATGTCATCAGCGGCCATCAGAAGTGATCTGAATGATGCTGGTGTTCCTCTCAGTTCAAGAACAATCAGGAGAAGATTAACAGATGTTGGACAGAGAGGTAGAATTCCACGAAAAAAGCCAATTTTCAGTAACAACAACAACAACAACAACAACAAAAAAAAAAAAAAAAAAAAAAAAAAAAAAAAAAAAGACTACAGTGGGCAAAGGAACACATTAATTGGACAGATGATCAGTGGTCACAAGTTATATGGAGTGATGAAACTAAGATATCGTTATTCGGTAGTGATGGGCGAAAATATGTAAGACGTAGAATAGGAGAAGAGCTACATCCTGACTGCATTCAAGCAACTGTGAAGAACCCAGTTAGTGTTATGATTTGGTCATGCATGTCAGCAGATGGTATTGGTCGCCTTCATGTCATCGATGGGAAACTGAATGCCAGAAAATACATTGACACTATTCTAGAACCAAAACTTCAACCTTCCATCAGAGATCTCTTTCCCAGCAACGCTTCGTTTATTTTCCAGCAGGATTCTGCTCCTTGCCACACGGCCAAAATATCGAAAGAGTGGTTTCGTACAAAGAGCATTAAATTGTTGTGATGGCCAGGAAACAGTCCTGACCTCAATCCTATCAAAAATTTGTGGCACCGTTTGAAAACTCTTGTCTGAATGAGGCGCTCATCAAATAAAAGGGAACTAATTGAGGCTATAAGTGTTTCCTCGCATCATGTAATAACGAAAGAAGAGCTTAAAAACTCTTGTTAGCTCAATGAAACGTCGATGTGAAGCTGTAATCAAAAATAAAAGGGTACCCTACTAAGTACTGATAACTCACTACAATCATCACTATCTAATGCATATCGATAACTATTATCTGTTAAACTTTTTTATATTGCAAATAATTGAATTTTGTGTTTTGTCTATTGAATTCAGTAATTAATTCTCTTTGAAATGATATATACAAGTTAGCATTTTGTGAAACGTAACGTTTTCCATAAGCATACAAAGTTCAAAAACATAAAAATTTCCAAACGTGTCCACAATTTTGGCCATCACTGTATATGTGCTCAAATTTAATATACCCTACGCTGATTTTCAAGTGATCAAATTAGTAGGAAAGGGGGAATGTAAGTAATTAGGTATTATATTCCCCCATATGTGCACTTGTGGTGTAAGTGGTTAGAAAATCCATCTAGTCATCTAGAAAATCTATGGTTCAAATCCTCCTGAGAACACAGTTAAACTTTTTATACTTCTTGCTCTGGACGTGAATACAAAAAATGGTCTTAACACTGAGTCCTGAACTAAAAGTGTGGTAGCCAAGAACTCATCCCCACCTGGATTTGTTTGACTGGGGTCTCTCGCTTCTCGCTAAGAACTATTGCATTCCATTGTGAATGCTGTCATGGCAATTGTTTAGCATATCAAAGCTAGCAAAAGGAAGGTCTGCTGCTCAAATGGGCATAGTTATTTTTTTGGTGTTTTTTAATTAATTTCTATTTTTGGTACTATTCTATTTTCTACTGGGCCACAATTTTTTTTACCAGTGCCAAGTGTCACCAGCTTAATTTAGATTCATTCCTTGCAATAACTGTCTTTATAAATATACTAAACTATTAACTAAAAATAACAGTTTTAGTCGCTCATTAAAACCACACTTTTCATCTCCTCCTTTTCTGTCTTTTAAACTGCAATGAATTTTATGACTTGTTTTAAAAAATCCATTGCACTCAAAAAAGAATCTTTATGCTCAATGAACATTTCATGAAATTAAAATGTGACTTGAAGCCAAAGGGGCTATGCAGCTTTTTCTCATGTGGAAAAGCAAAAGATGCCCAAATACAAATGTGGTCTGTTTCATCACTGATTCCTTTCATTACCACCATATGATTAATTCACTTTCAGTGGCGCAGTTAACATCTATTGAGTTTTCAAAACACAATTTGCTTCAAATGAATCACAATGCAACAGATTACTAGAATAATTACATAAGAGAGATTAAGTGCCAATTTCTTGTTATCTCATTTTAACGGTAAAATCGAAGGGCACAACAAAATTGTGGAAGCTGATAAAAACTTATTGAAAGGAAGAAAAAAAAAATTATGTAGACTCTCTTCTACTGCCCCCTATCAAGGCTTCTCTGTTTCCTCTAGCACCTGCCAAAGGCATGGAGAAAGAAATTAGCCTAAACATGCCAAAATGGTACTCGAAATGAACAGTATGGCTTTAAAAGAAATGTACCATTTTTTCCAGTTCCTTGCTTTGGCAGCCATAAATTACATGCAAAAAGTAAATATGTTTACTATGCAAGATTTTAGTTAAGACTTGGTGCCTTGATATCATTTACATGGCAGAACCATGATAATGAGAAAGTATAGAGAAATGTTTATTGTCCACAATGTAAGGCTTTTTAGTTACATTATTTATTTTTGAAGAGCAATCATATTTCTGCATACAGTGATAGTAAAATGGTTACATTTCTAAAGAGAACAGAGAACAATATCCCACTAGCAGATTAAAAATAAGAGCTACAGGTAAAGTAATTGATAAAATTGTATCAGACATGAAATGTGTGAAATACTTTCAACAAAAAAAGCAAATGCTACATGGCTAATTTTTTTGAAAGACATTTTTGTTTACTGAGCATTATTAAAATATGAGCTTTTATTATTTGAAAGGAAGCAAAGTTTGAAATCCGGATTGATCTAATATCCGGAATACCAGCAAACATTTTTTTTTTTTTTCTTTATTAAGTCTAGAAATGCAGAATATGAAGTTCAAGAAACATGTGTCACAAAAGAGTTTTCCTCCTAATTGACATTCCTCTATGTCACTTTCAAACACCTGCTGGCTAGGCAATGACATAGTGGCCTATGGTAACATATCAACTGATGTATTGACATTAGCCAAGAACACACATTTGACCCTTGAATGGTTGTAAGGAGACAATATTCTTCTATCTGGCTCAAACAATAAATA